GAAAAATATTTTGATTTTTGTGTATTTTACTTCAAAATACTAAATACTAGTTACAGTTACAAAGAATATGACTGCTGAAGTTAAAATTTCAGATTATTAGCTTTAAAAATAGACAAAGCTTGTGAATTTACTCTAAAGGGTTCAGAAGCAGTACTTTATTTAATTTGTGTACTTTTTAAGGCTTTTTATGGTATTTTATGCCCGAAGGTTAAGTATAAATAACCAAARTTTCTACTTAAGTAAAGTATTTGTACTTAGTTACTTGACACCTCTGGTTTCAGTTAAACTCACTGAAGCTCTGCTTGATGAAGTTTAATTTCTAAAAGAGTTTCTAATAAAAAACCTGCAGGTAAAACCTGAGGATGTGAAGAAAAGAAAAGCTTGTATTTAATGTGAACAAAAAGGAGCAAAGAGCTGAAATGTGAACGAGTTTTTATTTTTAATCAGTTAATTTCACAACATGTTCAAGTCAAACATGCAGCATGRGGAATATTTTCTTTCATGATCTTTTATTTTCTTTTTAATTTTCCTCACACTTTGTTGCGAACTGAGCCCAGGTTCTGATCCAGTTTCAGCTCTTTGTTTCAACATAAAACCCATTTATTTCTCATCCTGAGTGGATTTAATCCCAGAGCAAACAGAGGTTGATCCTTCATTAATTATTAGTGCAACAAAACTTAATCTGCAGCTCTGATGAAGAGCTCCTGTCATCGACTCAAAGTAGCTCCTTGATTCTTAAACTTGTTCAGTTTTGAGGCTGATGTAAACATCTCAAACCATCTGAACCAGTGTGAGGTCTGCTGGGTCGGACTCTGCTGACAGGAAGTGGTTGTTGTAGATTCACAGCAGCAGGCTGGGTCCTCTCAGGATGTTATCTGGTTTGTGGATGAGCTGCAGAAAACTGCTCCTGCGTCTTCAGACGGGGACAGTTGGTGTCGTCAAAAATAAGTTTCTTTCACATCATCGTAGTGTCCTGACCTCTCAGCCGAACACAGAAACAAACAACTTCATTACTGGAAACGTCATGCCTTTAGAGTAAAAACAACAAATGGTAAATGTGCAACAACAAGCCGAAGCTCAGCTGATTAAAAGCAGCACTTTGCATACAGCAATTTATCCTGAGTGCCGCTCGCTTCGGCTGTTTTCTTCCTCCGAGTGTCGGCTGGTTAAAGGCTTTGTTTTATTCTGAGCCTTTGTCAAAAAGGATCTCGTTGTTTTTTTAAAGCCTGAAGGTTATTTTTAATAAGTGGACTTCATGAATAAATCATAGAAAYGACGTTTTCTGTGAAAATACAGGAGGAGTGCTGAGAACTGAACGGCTGCTGGAGCTGAGGGGAGCATTTAGCTGACAGCTAAAACAGCTAAAAGCCTCAGCGTGACGTCTCTCCTGTTCTCGGAGCTTCCAGGTGGTTTGGTGCTGCGTGTTCTGATCCGGTCTGGACTCTTTGGTGCTGCGTGTTCTGATCCGGTCTGGACTCTGAACTAAAGGCCACAGTCCAGTTCTGGCCTGGACAGGAAGTAGTTTTCCTGTGTTGGGAAACCTGACCTTTGTGACGCTGAAGAGGCTCGGCTGTTCGCTCCTTTGTTTGGGTGTTCTGTGTAAATAAACACATACATGACGGGAAGCATGTACACACCAATCTGTCCTCCTCACTTCAACCTGATCTCCCCTCAGCCCCTGAGCTCCTTCCAGCACCGCTTCCTGAAGGACAGCAGAGACCCAGACTCCTCCTCCTCCTCCTCAGACCGTCTCCTCCGTCTCATTATTGTCGTTATAAAATGTTAATGAGGAACAAACGGTTGTAAAATTGGAGCTCCCTGCTTGTTCCTAAGAAATCTCATTCAATGAATAATGAAGGAAGTTTAGCATAAAGATGAAAATCAAGTGTCTGCAGGAGTGGATCATGTGCAGCACGGGGGTCTTCACTAACCTCGGGGGGGTGGGGGACACGGGGACAGGATCACATGTGGACTTTTACATTAAAATCAGCATTTTAAACCTTTGTGAAGAAAAACAGCTAAAAGACTTCAGTGGTTTTTACCAACATGAAGGTGGAGCAGAGACTTGGTTCTGGAGGACCTCAGTGAAAGTTCAGAACAAACAGCTTCTGTCTTCAACCCATCAGCCTGATTCTGGCTCGAATCATCTGAAACAGCCGAAGATAACGAGCCGAAGATTCATCAACAGCTGCATCCTTCCTGTCACTTCAGCTGCTCTCTGCTGGTTCTTTTACTGCCTCTGGGTGTCTCGTTAAGTCCGGTCCTCGTTAAGTCCGGTCCTCGTTAAGTCCGGTCCTCGTTAAGTCTGGTTCTTGTTAACTCAGGTCCTCATTCAGTCCAGTTCTCATTCAGTCTGGTTTCGTTAACACCAGTCCTCATTAACTCAGGTCCTCTTTAACTCAGGTCCTCATTAACTCAGGTCCTCTTTAACTCAGGTTCTCGTTAACTCAGGTCTTTGTTAACTCAGGTCTCCGTTAATTCATGTCCTCGTTAACTCAGGTCATCGTTAACTCAGGTCGTCGTTAACTCAGGTCGTCGTTAACTCAGGTCGTCGTTAACTCAGGTCCTCGTTAACTCAGGACCTCATTAACTCAGGTCCTCTTTAACTCAGGTCGTTGTTAACTCAGGTTCTCGTTAACTCAGGTATCCGTTAATTCATGTCCTCGTTAACTCAGGTCATCGTTAACTCAGGTCATCGTTAACTCAGGTCGTCGTTAACTCAGGTCGTCGTTAACTCAGGTCGTCGTTAACTCAGTTCTCCAT